GTTGTTCTCAGTTAAGATGGTACAGAGGGATATCCATGTAGGTTGAGGCCATTCCTCCTTTTTTACCATATGGGCTCTAGGAAATTAATTTTAATCTCTGTTAGCAATACAAAAAGAAACCTCCTTTAAGATCCAGGTTGTCTCTGTCCTGTGTGAGGCTACCTGCCCCCTTCTTTGGTAGAGAACTGTGAATTTCTCAAGAAGCCTATACATTGTAAACCATTTAGGGAGCGTTTGTGCACTGATAAGCAGTATAGAAATGTACTTGCTATTGCTATTACTATAAGCCTCTTGTGTTGTTGAATTTGGTAAATGTTTAGATGCTGTTTAGGTAAAACACACCAATGCAGTCCCATTTTTTAATTTAAAAAGTTTTATCTTTGTAAAATCTGAAAAAATTAAGTCCCACTCACTTGGCTCTTTCTTTGGGACCCCCCCCCCCCCCCCGGTTATGACTAAAATGTAGTATCCTCGTATTCAGAAAACATTTCCAGGGATAATTGTGTTGGCCATACAGCAAAGTACAATAACATCCAAAATCCAAAAAAGAGCCATACGTTTATTGGGCCAACCAAAATGCACAAAATACATGATGCAAACTTTCAAAGCTCCACTAGCTTCTTCATCAGGGAAAGGTGCACATTGGGCAGTCCTGAAGAGCTACATGTACTTCTGATGCACATGTACTTTCCTTTTGCCTGACTGGACCATGGCACATCAGTGAATCTACTATCATCCATTGTGCAATGGATGCCTGCATGTTGTAATGTCATGGCAGCCCCTAGAAGAATACATTGTGAAACTACATACTCATTTCTATTCCCCACATTTGTAATTTCGCTTCCAATGACATAAGGACCCATGCTGAATTCCATCCTTTGTTCCTTAGAGGTAGATAGTATAGCAATAGCAATAGCAAGTACAATTGCCCCAACAAGTTGGGTACTCATTTTACTAGCCTACAAAGGATGGAGGACTGAGTGGACCCTGAAGCCCTGCCTGAAATTGAACTCACAACCTTGTGGCTGCAGTACCAGCATTTAATCACTGCACCATCTCCTTGTTGCAGTGATGCTGTGGGGAGATGGGGCAACATGCTGTGGAAGACAGTGGCAGCAATGCAGTGGGGAGGCAGAAATAATATTGCTTTTCGTTTCCTCTCATAAGTCAGGAAAGTTCAGGCTCCCACTGCTCTGCATAACCAGTGAAAATATCAGCATAGACCAATAGAAAAAGCTGCTGACCTATGGCCTGGGCAGTGGCATCTCTACGGTTGGTGTCAACTGGTGCGGTAACTCATGGTGTCACCACCCCCATTGATCTCCTCCCATACTACATCATACAGAATCCTTAGCAATGTTTTTTTTGCATAATGTTACTCATAAATAGTAATTTCTGTATATCTGTATATCACTGAATGTAATGGTAATATTTGTGACATACACAACTAGTAAAACCAGAATTATACCTTTAAATTACAATATCATACATCTAATAATATCCTAAATGTATTTACATTACATAGTTTCATGTGGTGAAAGTGAAATTTTGGTAAAGTGAGATGTTTTTAAAGAACATTTTACAACTTCATCTTTTTCATAAACAATCCAAGATTTGATGCTATATTATCCTAATGTACTTGACTCCTGGAGCTTCTTCCAAAGAAAATGCCAACATTTGTCTATGATCCAGATTGGAAAGATCTCAGGCTGTACAACTGTTTATTCTAAGGCTCCCAACCCAATTGTAAAAGGTTACTATAGGTTAGCATTTGTGTTGTGCAAAGCCTGAAATAGTTGATTATTTTGCATCAACACTACAACTTTGAATAGAATAGATGTGAGTCCTAGAATAGCAGCTAGAGATTGTATCCCATAACTGCTGATGGTTTCATTGCTGTTGTGCACTTTCAAGTCATTTCTGATTTATGATAACCTTAAGGCAAACCTATCACTGGCTTTCCCTGGCAAGATTTATGGAGCAGGGGTTTGTCCTTGTCTTTCTCTGAGGCTGAGAGACTGCGCCTTGCCCAAAGTCTCCCAGTGGATTCTCATGGCTGAGCAGGGATTCAAACCCTGGTCCCCCAGAGTTCTAGTCCAGCACTCAAACCATTTAACCACTCTAGTTTTCATGAGAAAGGGAAAATAACACAGAATGTAAACTAGAGAAAGTCCTTTTTGTCATTTTAAATTCAATTAAATTTAGTTTGTTACATTTATATTGCTTCCACTTGTTTCAGCATGTCCCCTGCACCATTTTATGCTCACAACAATCCTGCAAGGTAGGTTAGGCTAAGAGATCATGCATGGCTGAAGGTCACCCAATGAGTCCCATGACTGAGTAGGGATTTGAATCCAGATCTTCTTAGTGCTCGTCCAACACTCCAATGGGTAGAGGGTAAGTACTATAACACCAACACCACTGTTATAGGAACTTTGCCCATGACCCAAAGAGGAAAGTGTTCAAGATGTGCAATCTTTTAAGGTAGGGCTTGCAACAATATACTGGGACAGGGAGTGGAGGAATCAAATACTAAACCCAAAATTCTAAGATAATAAAGCATAGGTATAAGCAAGCAAAGAGGGATTGAAAAGATGCATTGAAGGAAAGAAAGAATTGAAGGGCTAAGGCTGAAATCTTGTACCATGTAATGTATATATAATCATAAAGTGCATACGGTATATGGTTACCTGGGTGTAAGTTCAACTGAGTAGTTTCTTCTGAGAGGCATTGTAAACATGGGTTTTCTTTTAGTATTTCGGGGGGGGGGTCTTTCCTCTTGTGGGCTTTCTTCTAAGTGGAGAGGCATCTAGGGTTGTGTAGGGAGCTACTGAGCTTCATGAATCATTTAAATCCTCCTTCTTCCTTGACCACAGCATGTAGCCTGGCTTAGCCTGTATTCCTCATCTGTAAAATGTGGATGGATTAAAGATGGTTTTATTTTGCAAGGTTCTTGAAAGTTTTGAGACAAAATAACATTTCAGTTTAACCAATCTGCCAAAACATGGTTTGTAGTATTAGAAACAATAGACTCATATACTTGCTTTACTCCCATCTAAATAGTTGCATTGGATTTTGCATGGTTTTTGTTTTTGTTAGATGTCTGAACTGGAATGCTGTGCTTTTGGCTTATCTGCTGAACCAGAATCGATGGGGATGCCTAGTGTTTGTGTACATATTTTTAGTATTTCACTCCCATTTCATCATCCAGACAGGAAATTGTAAGCAGCCAGCATAATGCAAATAAATGCTGCTCTAAAAGATATATACATACTTGCACACAGCTTTATCACCTCATTCAAAACAGAGATCAGAAAATAGCATGATCTATAATGTTCTAGAAAAATAATAATTCCTTCATAAATTTTGCTCTTTAAACCTGAAAAAACTGAACTGAACAGACAAGAATGTAGCAACCCAGACGGTGATGACTATATATATTTTCTCTTTGCAAACCATAAAAGAAATGGATTTAACTGAGGCCATGTTTATTTAAAAAGAATTGCAAGAGAGTAACTATGAAGGAATTGCATCTAACCAAGGTTAGAAGAAGTCAGTGTGATATTTTTGAAAAACTTCTCTCTTGTCCAGCTGAATAACAACCAGTGACAGTTAGTGGTTTCCATGTCAGAGGGGTTATAAATCTGTTCTGGCTTGTAGTCTGAACTGTAAAAGGGCTATCCAAGATGTTGAACCACAACTCCAAAATTGATTCAATAATTTAGATTTGAAGTTTAGACTTAAACCTGGAACAGATTCACCACCCACTGACATGGAAATCCTTAACTGAAAAATCATCTCTCCAAATTTTTTAAATAAAAGACTGAAGGTTTAACATGTTAAATATCTAGTTTAAAAAATTAGAAAGATAATTCAAGTTTAATGTTTTCTTTCTACCAACATATGCATCTTCATTGCTGCTATATTTGGCTGTTTGAAACATATTTTCACCTGTTAGTTGATTATTTTTAAAAAAATTAAAGTAACTGCTTCTTATTTTCCTTCTTATTCCCTTTTCTGCTGCTTATAAACATCTTCTGATGTCTGTCTATCCATCTGGGTTACTTGGCTTGTCTTCCACGAATTCCTTTGGATTTCTAAAAATGTTTTTTAAAAATACATATAGCTAAAACCTTGGAGGAAATAACAAAACATTCTTTGATTCAGAGGTACAAAATACAACATATACATTTTTGATAATAATAGATTTCTCAAGACCACTGAGGAACAATTCATAGGTCATCACTCCCTCAGATACTCTATTCATTATGCAAAAGGACTTGTCTAGTTCATAGCCTTTGGGGGGGCTTACAGCTCTGAACAAATGGATTCCAAAGGTGTTGCCTATCCCATCCCACAGGTCTGAAGCCCATGAGCTGAAATACTTGGAAGCTACCAATCACCCCAAAGGTGCCTATGGATGCTAACAACCATATGCTTTAACAGATTTCCCATTGCAAACTAGCTACAAGAGACAAGTTGCAGCTTAATCACTTCCCAAGCCCCGCTGCCTTTGCTGAATAAACTCCAGGAGACTGCCTTTGCAGATCAGCTAAGAGTGAAGCACATTTGGGAGTAGAAAGGTGAATCCCATCAGCTCTGCACAGTTCAGCCTGGGAATGCTTGGTTTCAGGATGATAAATAATTCCACCTTCATACTCCTGTAACTCCAGATGAGTCTCTCAATTCACATTCTCACCAGTCTGAAAGCAATAGTAAATCACCTCTGAGTATTCCATGCCTAAGAAAACACTATGGAATTTATATGGAAACCATAAGACAACATAAAAGGCACACAGAGAGAGAAAGAGAGAGAGAGCTTGATTAAGACCCTGGGATGACCAGGCAAAGATCAGACCATCAGATAGTCACTGACATTGTTTCAAGGTCTCTGCATGTCAGCAATGTGAGTGCCTTGCCCTTCAAAAGGTCCAAATTGTTTCCCACCCAATGAGACGGTGTGCAGTGGACTAAACGTAGGCAGCATGTCATGCCTCTGTCTCCCTAGCACCAATCCTGGGAAACCTAGTTCATGATTGTGTTGTTATACTGTTCTTCCTCTAGCTGTGCAGTCTGGATTAGGATGTCTCAAGTTGCCTGTCTCAACCAGAACATACTGGGTTTCCTAAGATTCTGAAAATGTATTGTACTACATTGCAGTGGATGCAGATGTAACCCCTATGAGCTATTGGTTAGGCCTAGTAAGAGATCCAGTGTAATGTTGTAGTTTGAGTGTTAGACTATGACCCTGGAGATCAAGGTTTCATTCCTCACCTGAGCATAAAAATCCACTGGATGACCTTGGCCAAGTAACACTCTCTCAGCCTCAGAGGATGACAATGGCAAACAAAAATAATTACCAAGAAACCCCTATAATAGGTTTGCCTTAGGGTCACCATAAATCAAAAATGATTTGGAGGCATACAACAACAAAGTAGGTGGGGAATCTCCTAAGGAAAGAGCTGTATTTGCTAGTTGAATTCAGAAAGAGAATGAAAGCTGGAGCTGGAGAGGAACTGCCATTGCCACAGCTAAGAAATAGTCTTTCTTCACCTTGAATAAGGTAGTGGGATTTTTAGTTGTGGATTTAGGAGGAAACAAAAGGGTAAATTCTTTGTCGTGTAATTTCCGTATTGCATTTGCTTCTATTTTGTACTTCATTTAGAGCTTTAAGGTTGCTCACAAATGTTGCAGTAATACTTAATAGCTCAGGCAGAAGAGTCCTACACTGAAATCCTGCACTAGTCCCTCATTGGATGCATGGAATATTTGAAACATTGCATATGCATCAAATTTAATATATTATTTGTTGTATTGTTATTAAATATATATATTGAGATTTAAAGTGCCATTATGTTTACAATATTCAATTACAGTTGGCCCCATAGAACCCATAAAGAAGTACACAGGCAGGGCTTGGAAGTAGCTATTTACAAATAACTAGTTTCTTGTAATTAATGCCTTTTCCCAATAATAGCAACCTATCTATGTTACATTATGATTGTGACTTGACGATGGATATTTTCACTCCTTTTGCTGAACAATACAACCTTTATTCACTCTTATAGTCACAGGATTGTGACCTTGCTAATGGTGGAGGAGCAATATCACATGGTCCAAATGCTGGCTTGTGTTGTGCTTGGTACTACTGCATTTATGGCCATTAGGGCATCAGTGAGATAGGTAGGAAGAGAATGTGAGTCATATTTCAGGCCAGCAACATATAGCATCCAGAAGTTTCCAAAAAATAACTTTTTGAAGGGAAAATGAGGAAATGGTTACTTTGTGAATGTACCATATTTTGAGCCTTGTGACTAATTACTTTGAAGATTATCTATCTAAGCTTGGGAAAACAACTTTAACTTTGGCACTAGAGGTTTAAGCTAAGCTTAAAGGATACAGGTACAGCAGATCAACTAAAAACCATTGTTATCTAGATGAGAATTGGGTCTGGCAGCTTGGTGTTCCAGATCAAAGGCTGAGTGGTAGATCTAAGAACTCCTTTTCTATCCTCAGTTAAAGGTTGGAAAGTGATTTTCAGGCACAGGCTTTTCTGCTGAAATGTGAGTCTCTTTCATGATGCCAACCAGACACTTAAAAGATGAGGAGGAAAGGAAATCCTTGGTGGATTTCTCTAGCAGCGCTGTGAAGATCAAACACAGAAAGTCACTGGCAGTGAATATTCTGTTCCTTAGAAGTGGATTGTTCTGTATCTGCTTTTTATACAGCTATTAATCCTCCCCTTCCACTTCCTCCCCTGCAAAAAGCCTTACAGGGAACTGAAGGCCCTAATTTAAAAGTCTAACCTACTGGAAATGGCATGTCTTCATCCAAGGCCTGTTCAATCCTTTTCTCTTAGCCTTCTGATTTAATTCCATAATCCATCAGTATCATATAACTTCTCAGCAAAAGGGATGCCATCAAGGATGCAGAAGTCCAGCCTCCACATTTGTCAGAATGAAGAGGAAAGGCTCCCATCCAACCCAGCAAGGCTGGCTTACATTTTGAAGTGAAATAATTATCATAAATAAAAGGTGCTTATAAGATTATTAATTCCAGTATCCCAAAGCACCTAAACTGTACAACTCTGTATTGTCCTCATCCTCATGTTGAGGACATTTTGAAA